GGGAGTGGAGGGGGTTGTCGGACGCTATGGGGAGCAGCAGGGGAATGCCAGGGGCTATCGGGGGGGGGGGTACCAGGAGTGGAGTTAACGGGTTAACGGGGACTATGGGGAGTGGAGGGGATGTCAGGGGGTGTGGGGTATGTCCCAGTGGGTGGGTTCATGGAGGGGCTCAAGAGGGGGCTGCCATACTCCTGTTCCACCACCCAGCCCCTGGGGTGCCGGTGGCAGCAGGCAGTGAGGCTGTGACTCTGCTGCAGGCACAACGGGCAGTGATGTGGCGCTGTAAGACCTGGGCTCTGTACATGCTGAACAGACCTGGCCCATCCTGCTAGCGCACGACCTCGGATGGCCCGGGCCAGGTCCATTTAGCATGTATGGAGCCTGGGTCACAGCACTGTATTGCCACCCGCTGGGCCTGCAGCAGAGCCACAGCCCTGCACAGCCCCACTTGCCTGCTGCTGCTGGCAACGTGGCTGCCGGGTGGCAGGGGCAGGTATGTGGCAGCCCCAGAGCCATCCCCAGGGGTGTGCAGGGCCAGAGGGTGACAAGTAGAGGAAGCAGGGGTAGCAAGCAACTGGAGTGCAAAGCCAGCAGCGTGGCAGGACCCAGCCCAGCCCAGCCCACTAGCCCAGCTTTGCACCAGAGCAGGACGTGTGACTCCTGTGCAAATGCATGCTAGCTATGCAACCTGGGCCAGACTGGGCTGGCAGGGTTCATTTTCCATGAGGCTCAGGCACCTCTGAGCCTCACGGCAAATGTGCCCCACCAGCCCGACCTAATCCAATCCAATCTGGCTTGGGCCACGCAGCTAGCATGCGTTTGCAAAGGAGCTGTGCCTCCTGGAGCTGTGCATCCCACTCTGGTGCAAAGCTGAGCTAGCAAGTCGTGCCAGGCCAGGTCCCATTGCACGCCTCCTCTCCGCCGGCATCGCAGGGCAAGCAGTACTGCCACCAGAGGGCAGGACCCGATGCAGTGCACAGGGACAGCACGCTGAGCCAAGCCAGGTCCTGCTGGCACTGGGGCAGCTTGGCTGCCAGGCTGGGCTAGTTCCATGGCGGCAGGACCTGACACAGTGCAACACGCGGTCCCCACAAGTGGCACCGGCCCCTGGGGGCCCCTGCGAGTAGCGCCAGTCCCCAGTGAGCAGCACAGGCAGCACCAGCTCTGAGCTGCTCGGGGCCACGCCATGCAGTGGAGGGGCTGGCAGCAGCGGGCTGTGAGCGTCCCACTCCTGCTGCTGCTGCTGCTGGGGGTAAGTTTTAGAACCTGCACAAGGGGGTTCTGGCCCTGCAGGATGGCTGGGATCGTATGGGGGCAGGGGCTGTGGCCCTCCAGGGTGGGGGGGGCCACAGCCTGGGAGGGGGACCACAGCCTGGCGGTCCCCCCTGGTGGGGGGGAGGGGGCTGTAGCCCTGCAGGGTGCCTGGGATCGTATGGGGTGGGGGGGCTGTGGCCCTCCAGGGTGGAGCTGGGGCTCTGCAAGGGGGGCAATCCATGTGCTGGGGGGGGCTGCACCCCTCCTGAGCAGTCCCCCTACAAGGTCCCCCACACTCCCAGTCCGTCCACAATCATCCCACACCGACTCGCATCCCTCGTACCTTTGAAGCATAAGATAATATTACCTCACTGACATAAAATAAACTGTATGTTGTGCTAAAATGGGATACCAAAAATGATGCATCAAAAAACTTTCACTGAATTCTCAATGATGGCCAATGAACCTTCATTTGGAAAACAGCTGCTGGATTGTATCTGAAAATCTTTTAGCTATTAAAACCGCCCACTGTCTTCCTGGAACAAAACTACTTTTTGCTTTGATAAGCACCACCAGACAAACATCTTTCAAAACATTTAGTTAAGGGCAAGAATTCCAGTGACACTGAAAGCTTCCATCATGAGATAAAATAGTGATGAAATTCACGTTAAATGAATGTAATAATTAAACAGCTCACTCTTAAAGCCTGATGAGTTTTGATCTAATCAAATTTAAGGATGAGGAAGATATGGAAACTGACTCAGATATGAAGGAAAAGTTACACTAGCAATTCTGTATTATAGCTTATACCCCAGCATTTCCAGATCATTGAATACTGCACAATATATTTGAACAGGCTTTGCTTATCAGTGTGTTTTTTAAGCCTGTTGCGGATGACATTATTTTGCTGAAATGAATAACCTTGTTTACAACATGGATGTTCAAAAGAAAATAACTAAGCTTGTAACACTGGTTGATTTGAACTTGTGTTGGCTGTAGCCAGCCTGAAGCTTCTGTCTGTCTTAAGCCAGAATGCATGTGGTTCTAGTGAACTGCTTTTCCCCACCATTTCAATAAAGTTTAAGTTGATATAGTAGTAAAAATGAATTCTGCTAATAAAGCCAAAATATGCAACAGATCTCATACCAGTTCAGCTAAACACACTGGTTTAGCTGAACTAGTGCTCTTAGCATTGCCCACTGGTGAACAGACCAGAAATCTTGGGAGTCAGACCTGCTGGATTCTAATCACAGCTCCATTACTCTCTTACCAAATCATTAACTACAATGGCTTAATTTCTCTTCCTCCTTAAAACATTGTAAAATGGGAGTTAATAACCACCTTTCTTCTTCCCAAGAAATCTGTGCAATTGTTTTGACATCCTTGGATTTTACAAGTGTACACATTTCTGCCACAAACATTTTTATATACTTACCCTAGGTCCTCGTCCTTTTATTTTTCTTCCAGATCTGGTTACTAAAAGCCTTCTCTGGTATGTTGACTGGGAGTTTGCTGGATTACTAAAAATGAAGAGAAAACTGATACCATTACACTCTTTTTAGAAGGATAAAAGAGTAAAGACTGTTTGAATTATTTTTTGCAAATTAAACAAGCTAAAACTACATGAAAACAGAGATTCAATTGTCATTCTCATTTACCAGTCCAGACAGTAACTAATGGTCATCATGAACAATACAGTAGTTTTACTATTCCGGTCAATGTCTATTCAGAAGGCATTTAAGAAAATTATTTGGAGGCAGAAAGAAAGAAGCAATCCCTCACACATTTTTGGAGGGAACTTGGTATGTAAATATTCTGAAACCTCAATATGATTGCAGTTATCATTTCATAATATTATAAAAGCCTCTCTTTTTTTCACCTCTGTCATTCCTTATTCTCTGTATCATGATAAATGCATCATGAAAGGAACCCTGAATTTTTAAGCATAGGAACACTCCTCTGGGTCCTGCAGAAATAATTAAGAACTTGCATTTGAATTACTGATTATAGAAGCTGTAAAGAACGAGCAAGTCCATTTAGCCACCGGTTAAGTATAAGACAGTAAACAGACACGCTGATACAAACTCTCCCATACTGATCTACCAGTATTGTTCCAACCTTCATCGGAAAGGACCAGCTCTAGTTTAAGGTTTATCTGCCAGACCTAACAGAACTTCTTCCTATGAGAGACGTGATTTTCAACAAGGGTGCCACAGAATCTAGAGGTACACCGATACATCAGTCCAATATCGGATTGGCACCGATATAAAGAAAACTGTCTGCATCAGAAATCAGCCTGATATGGCCAATAATTTGGCTGATAAATGGCCTGTGCATGCTCAGCTGCAGCGCAGCACATAGGTGGCAAGGAGCACAACCCAGTAGCTTGAAGAGCGATGTCTAGCTGGTAAGTCTGTTGTGGTGGAAGAAGAGGGGGAAGGGAAGGGGT